CCGAGCCTTGAACCTGTCAACAGTTCCATCCACTTTCATCTTCTTTTTGAAGATCCATTTGCAACCAAGGGGTTTAGAACCCGGTGGCAAATCCGACAACACCCAAGTGTTGTTCTCCATAATTGATGACATTTCATCATCAATTGCCTCCTTCCAAAAGGCAACATCTCGGGATTCCATTGCCTCTTTAAAGGTCTTTGGATCATCCTCAACTTGGTAACAATATGAATATTGTACCCCCGTTTCATCCCTTGAACCTTCCACTAAATACAAGTGAAAATCGGGACCAAAGTCTTTCACGATGCGGCCTCGTTTGCTTTTCCTTATTTGTGGTGCTTCGGGATTCAAAACACCATCCAAACATTCCGGAACTTGCACCTCACTAGTGCCTGGAACTAGGTCCTTTGGTCTTTGAATTGATGAAAATCTCATCTCATCAAAGATCACATCCCGAGACTCAATCACGGTGTTAACCGCTACCGCATCATTAGGTTCTATTACATAAAACCTATAAGCCTTGGAATGTTCAGCATACCCTATGAATATGCAATCAATTCCCCTTTCCCCCAAAGTTTTCCTTTTGGGCTCGGGCAATTTTACAACCGCCCTACAACCCCAAACCCGAAAATATTTCAAATTCGGCGCTTTCTTGTACCAAAGCTCATATGGGGTTGTCTTGTTCCTTTTATTTGGAACCCTATTTAGAACATAGCAGGCCGTGAGCATGGCCTCTCCCCAAAACCCTTCACTCAAACCCGAGTAGGAAAGCATGGAATTAACCATTTCCTTTAACACTCGATTTTTCCGTTCGGCCACACCATTTTGTTGTGGTGTATACGGAGCCGTGGTCTCATGAATGATTCCAACAGATTGAAAATAATGGGGATCCATATATTCTCCTCCCCGATCAGTCCTAAGACATTTAATTGGATTACCCAATTGCAATTCAACCTCGGTTTTATACACTTTAAATTTCTCTAAAGCTTCATCCTTGGTGTGTAATAAATACACATAACAAAACCGAGTCGAATCATCAATAAAAGTAACAACATACTTTTTATTGCCAAGGGAAGGAGTTGAGTGAAAGTCACATAGATCACTATGTACAAGATCCAAAATAGCCGAATTCCTTTCAACATTAGGAAACGGTTGTTTTGTGATCTTAGTAAGCATGCAAGTCCTACACTTATCATCATTAATACCAAAAGCAGGAATTAAACCATCTTTAGACATTTCATGCATTTTTCTAAAATTAATGTGAGCTAGTCTAGCATGCCAAATCATACAATCATTCATGGAAGATGCCACAAAAACAGAATTATCACTAGGAATTAATTTATTCACAACATTTAAACGAAACATGCGATTTGATAAATATCCAAAACCAACAAACACACCACCCTTGGACAGAATATATTTATCGGATTCAATCACTTGTTTGAACCCTAAATTATTCAACATACTTCCCGAAACAAGATTCTTTCGAACCTTCGGTACATACAAAACATCAAACAACGTAATTGTTTTCCCAGAAGTAAATTCTAAAACAACTACACCCTTTCCCAAGATAGGCACCATTGACTCGTCTCCCATGCGTAATAAGGAACCGACCTCCACTGGTTCTAGGTCTTCAAACCATCCTTTATCCTTACACACATGGCTCGTAGCCCCCGAGTCAATCCACCATGCACAGTCATCATCCTGTACATAAAAAGATTCTGGAATGAGTGATACATAATTCTGGACAGAATTATCAAAGTTAGTCAGGAACTGACCTCCTTTCCGTGGAACCAGGTCCTTAGACCGTTCCTGTCCACTGCCACTCGTTCCAGCGCCATTCTTGTTCAGTTTCACACGGCAATCACGCTTGACATGTCCAACCTTTTGACACCTCCAACAAACCAAACCTTTCGGTTTCTTGTTGGGTTTGTCATGGTCTTCATACTTGCGCTTTTTGCCTTTCCCCTTATCTTTCGGGTTAGATTTATTATCCTCAACCAAGTGAACATGAGCCATTCTAGATTCAACTTCACCCATAATTTGGTCATTCTCTTGCACATGAAGATTCTCCTCAATGCGCAAGTGACTCCCAAGTTGAACCAAGGACAGTTCCTCATCTTGATGTTTTAAAGATCGTTTAAAATCCTTCCAAGAGGGTGGAAGTTTGTCAATTATACTCGACACGGCATAGGACTCATCAACACCTATCTTGTGGAGTTTAAATTGACCAAGAACACGAAGGAGTTCATTGTATTGTTCCATAACCGGCCTTGAGTCAACCATTTTATAATTATTAAAATCACTCACCAAGAACTTCTTACTAGAAGCATCCTCGGCGATGTATTTTGACTCAAGAGAATTCCACAATTCCTTCGCACTCTCAACGTTTTGGTAAATATCAAATAACGCATCGGACATACCGTTAAGGATGTGACCTCTACATATGTAGTCATCGTTCTCCCACTTGTTGCGCCTCCTAGTTTGTTCCAAGGTTTCATCCTCCATCACTTCCGGCATTGGAGTGCTCAACACGTACACAACCTTCAACGTGGTGAGAAGAAAGTGCATCTTCTTCTGCCATCTACGGAAATCGTTCCCTTGAAACTTGTCCAATTTGTTGAACTTGGATGTCATCTCTTCCACGGTACTCATGATTATCACAAAGGAATATCAATTCGATTGTTGGGGTATATCACGTAGGGGGTGATAATTCGAGTACTTGGATATCTTAAGGATCGTGTAAGTTCACTTTCCGAATTGATATTTCTCCCCTATGCCTGGGTTACAAGAAATTCAATCTAGGATAATCCTTAAGGACACTCTAGAACTTAGGCACAAGAACCAGAGCCAAACTAGTGAGTATATGGATTGCTATCTTTAATTTGAGTGCCAAAGTGATGAAGATATGTTGGATATTATTCCTCTCCCTCCTCTGTACGAAATATGGTGGTATATATCCATATTCATCGTCCTAGGCAGTAGTAACACGATTAAGAATAACCGCAGCAGTTTTTGGGAAACTGCTGGAAACTGCCTAACCGTTCTAGAACTCGGTCTAGAACCACAGAGCTGGTCTACTGAAAGTTATACCCCGAGTTCTACCTCAAGTTCCACTAACGTAGACACTTTGGAACTAAACTAGTTCTTATATACAAGTGTGCACTCCACACCTACTAACTTGTATTAGATCATAGTTCTAATTCCCATTGGCACTCATGTCATTTCCAATTACACAAAACGGCAGGTGACACTAAAATCACCAACAATCCACACCGTCTCATGCTCTGCAAACACGGAGTATAATTATCATTTTTCTATCAACAGTTTGGGGGGATCAAATGTTGTAATCCAAAATATATTTGGCGATCTCAAAATTGCACTTCTTCGAAGAATGAATAAAAATGTCTCCGCTGAATCTCCAAAGAATAAATTTGTCTTTCACATCAGAAGAACATGGGGCAAAGATATCTGTGGATCTTCTTAAAAACTCAAAGCGTGTATTTTGACTCTTTTTTTTCATTTGATTATCAAGCATCAACTACTATGTAATGCAATTTGATGTTAAATTAAATGGATAAACTATATGAAGAAGCTACACGACATGAATAAATTAAGATTAATAAGTAATTCCGATGATATAGACACGTGTAATTAAAAACCTTCATTTTCAGAAGTTCAATTTTGACAAACCTTCCTCAAAAGTATTGATTTTAATTTCATTTTTTTGTAATTAGTTTTAGGGGTATTTACCTGAATAGGAGTAAATAAATTCATAATTGTTAAAATAGGAGCAAAGTTTAACAATTTCCCCAAATAGGAGTTATTATTTACAATTGGACAAAAGTACCCTGGAGCTTGGTAAAACCTACTGCCACTCACAGAATGACGTTGGAACGTCGCCAATCGCCGGCCACCGCCTCCGGCCGCCGCAGAATTGGCCAACGCTGCGGATCTGACCGCGGCGCTGCAGATCTAGTCGTTTCCGCCGCAGATCTGGCCACTGCCATCGTATATTTTGCCAGATTTAGCGGACGCCATTCACCGGAAATCGCTCCTGCAGATCCGGCCGCCGCTGCTGCAAATCCGACCTCCGCCGCAGCAGATCCGGCCTCCGCCGCTACATATCTGAACGCCATCGACGCCGATGCCAACATTTTTGTGAGAATGCCAAACCAGAACCGATAATGCCATTTTAATGGCATTTTCACCCAAAAATATGAAATTTTGAAGAGGAAAAATGTGCCGTTTTGATGGCATTTTCATAATATAACTTGGGATTTTTTTGAGACAAAAAAATATCCAGAACATTATCTATTTTTTTTTTCAACTAACACCTTCAATGAAGAGGGGGAAGGCAGATCCAGAGAAGAATAGGCGGAAGAGAAAGGATTGTGAGAACAAACTCGTCGCTACAGGCCAGAGATGATTACCGGAGCAGAAAAGATCGCCGCCACACCTCGAAGCTCGACGTCTTGCAACCACCTTATGTGAGAGAGATTACAGACGGATGGAAGAAGATGAGGAGGAGGTCGAAGTCGATGGTGAGTAGGAAGGAGAAGAGGTGAGCGAAGAAGATTATGCGCCGGTGGCTACTGTGCGTGAGTGAGAAAAATAGAGGAAATAAAGGAGAAGGGGTGAGTGACGATGGCTATTGTGCGTGAGTGAAGATTGAAGACAATAGAAGGGTAGTTTTGTAACAAAAGTCCTATTTAGGGAATAAAAATACTCCTACTCCTATTTTGGAATTTCAACAACAATTTAGTCTTATTTAGGGCAAAAACTCTTAGTTTTACTATTGATTTTTTCGTTTCCTGATGTAATTGAAGAATTGCATCTGATTTTATCTACTCCGTATTATTGACTATATTTATATTCTATTTGCTTCTGATCTTTTTAATTTCTACGCCGGTCATAATCATAGTATGGCTTGAGATTCTTTCTTTCAGTGGCATCTTTTAATGGCTAGATATCAGTAATTTTTATTACATCTGCACTTTCAGGTTATGCTTCTGAAGAAGATCGGTAGAAGAAAAGTAATATTAACGGGTAACCTGCCGCTATTTATTAGTGGTATTACGTATGAAAAGTAAATTATTTTTTTAAACCCACAATTGCATTGGAGAAGAAATATTATTTTAAAGAGAATACTGTCATATTAGTCCTCGTACTATAGTAAGGGAGTGTTTGCAACAGCTTCTGCTTAAAAAAAAGCACTTTTGGAGATGAAATGAAAAAGTGATTAGTTGTAAAAGTTGATAGTGTTTGAGAAAAAAGTGATTTTGAAAAGTAAAAGTTGGTTGTGTTTGGTAAAATAAGTGCTTTTGGTGTATAAAAAGGGGGAAAGCACTTTTGACACGAAAGCCGAGAAAAGTAAAAAATTGGTAGTGTTTGGTAAATAAGTGCTTTTTTAAGCCAAAAGCTGAGAAGTGCTTTTTTTAAAGTTGTTGCAAACCAACCTTAAAAAGTTAATTAGACCCTTGTACAATTTAATCACTCAATCGGACCCCCAAACTTTAATAAATCGTTCAAACTTCAAAATGTCTTTTTAAGAGGTTATCAAACGGTTTCCCGTTACTTTGCTTGTCTGGCTATCCATGTCATCTTTTTTTATTTATTTTTTTTCATTATTGATACTCCATCTTTTGTGAATTCCGCATTCGCACTAAAGATGCTCTAAAAGGGGTTATAGGTTTGATTTGGATATCCTAAATTAACAAGATTAAAGTATTAAAAAAAATGGAAAGATATAAATCAAGAAGTCATTATTCTAAATCAGGAAAAAATATGAAACAAAACAAATTTGTGTGCTCAAAGCCTCAAAATATGGTACGTAATTGTGTGTGCTTCTACATGCTCTCCATTTGATTTTGAGTTTTCAATAATCAATAACTACAACACACAACAGTGTGTATGTAAGTTTGTATATATATGTAGGAGTGCATTCATACATGCCTGTAGATTGCTTACACTATGCAATGTTTCATAGGGCTGTGGAGTTGGGAATAAAGCTGGAGTGGCTTGAGGATGGAGTGAAAGCAGTTATGGGTCCAAGACCTGCTATTGTGTTGGACAAAGCTAGGCAAAGAAAAACATGGTTTAATAGCATGGTGGGTGTTTATACCTGCTGGCAAGATGCACGAAATGATTCGAAGAAGGCGGTGACTTTCAGGGATGGGAACCCCTTGCCTGCCGAAATCATACACGATTGCCTCAAAATAATGGAAGCAGAAAGTGTTGCGATGCCATGGAAGAAAGGTGATATTTTGCTCATTGACAATACGACTGTTCTTCACTCTCGAAGGTCGTTTGATCCTCCTCGTCGCATTCTGGCCTCATTGTGCAAGTGAGGAAAGTATTACTGCAGTGAGTCATGAGACCTTAATAGATAGAATTGTCAATGTCATATGGGATGATGACTAATGTGAAAATTCAAATGTTATGCTAGTATAGATATAATTATTTTCTCTAGCTCGTGCATATTATAACATCTCTTGAGTTGTTTCTCTATGCCATTCAAAAGAAGGTTGAAAACATAACAGTTCAAGTGATGAACTAATTAAAACTTTTCCAGAAGGCTATAAGAAGTAACCAACAAGTCATTCACTAGAGTACTTTTTAGAATCTCTTCCTCACAAGTAGAAAAACCAATGCTTCATTATGAGTGGAGAATTCAACACACAAGTCTAAGCATATCATTATCAAATAATCATATAACTACAATAATGCACTGCACGATCCAGATAAACTCTCAAATAAACGTTGTCTAATAGTTAAGGAACCTAAGAACTTAAGCAGATTTTTGCAACCAGAAATTTCGAGAAAAAAAATATCACAACATAAATAATTAATCTTAAAAAGATTGTTTGAATGAGCGTTTCTGAGATCAGAGTACACGATTTTCTGTATCGGGTGTTTGGTGGGTATCGAGGATCAGATTACATAGGGGGAGTTCCAAGCTCAATCTTGTAAATAAATACATTCAGATTTAATCTTAAAAAGATTGTTTGAAATGAATCAATTAATTATAAGTTCAAACTGGGAAGGAAGTGTAATTGACCTTGATTGATTTCCAATAATTATTGCAGGCATATATATTGGATCTCTCTATACATGGTATCCATTTTCCTCACACAAATTTGTTATGCAAGGCACACATGTTTTCTAACTTTGTTTTTCTTCTTTATTTCACTTTTCGCCTATGTTTTTTAATCCCGTATTGTCGTATGCAATGTAAGGTCTATTGTTCACAACTCTCCAATCTAGAAATTTATCTCTATTTCATACCACCTCATATTTCATAACATTTCTCTACGAAATCAATATATTAATCTTCTCTAAATGCTCATATAAAGATATACTAATAAGCTAGACCTCCTAAAATAAACCTTCCAATTGGGTATGCTCTTATCAGTTAACTTCTTTGACAAAACATGCTACGTAGTATGTTCTAGACATCCATCATAATTCTTTCTAGCTGGAATATCTTGCTGTTGATATGTTTATAACAGAAAACACCAAATTTATAACTCTTCTTGGTGGAACTTTTGGGTGTTATATGTTTATAACTGAAAACCTAGCTCAATCATCCATCAAATAAAACACTTCAAGAACCAGACAAGCTTGCAGACAAAACAAAACTGTTAATAGACAACAGCAACAACATGAAGCATTTTCATTATCTGATTGTCATGATTGCTTATACACTCTTTAGCTTACATGGTGCGTTTTGTTCAAGTATCTATCCAACACAAAAAAGTATAAAAGATATCAAATTAAAATATAAATTTATGAGATATTCCTCCTCACACGTTAACCTTTTAGATGAAACCTCAAGTCGTTGAATTGATTTTAATCTCAGCCTCTCAGGCCACACGCCAGACCAAGCCAGAAGACTTGATGTGCAAGTTTGTTCTGGTCAACCGTCCATCTTGGAACCGGACTGAAGGTGCGTGTGCACCACTAAACTCATGTATATATGAATGATGAAATCGCCACACGCCTCAATCAGCCACGCACCAGGCTACTACACCCGGCTGTTTTCGTGATCCCCTCGTTCCTCATTCTTCTTCTTATCCAGCGCAGACTTTCCCATTTCTCGCAGGCTGCATATACGTCGCACAGCAGAACATATACAGATCCTTTTTCTGCTCCTATCTCAAGAAGTTGCCCAGCTGCCATTTCTGCCATTTCTGCATCCTTGTGAACCCTGCAAGTAGCTAATGGTCTGTCTAAAAGAACCTAACTGTTTGTAAACTTTTCTTGTGTAGTCCATATTCTTTAATTTTCTTCAAAAGTCAGATGCAGATGTATTGATAAGCATTTTTTAGTACTCCCTATTTTATTTTAGTTCATCAAATGATTCTTTCAACTAATCTGTCATATAACTTATATAGTTGTTCTTACCTAGTTTCTTCATTCCGGGTGTCCTAACTAGAACTACAAATAAATCAAGCTTCTAGTGACCCATTCGGTTATCAATTCAATTAAAAGAACTCTTTAAAATAAACAAACCAAACTCAAGTTTGATAGTATTTGGCTTGTTAGCTTGCGAGCTAGCTTGTAAAGTATAAAATTATGAGTAGTTCTGCATTTTAGTTCATTTCAATATCTTTTCTTATTTTTAGCATATAATTATCTCATGTTCGAAAGAACGTAAAAGCTTTAGTATACATGGTAATACTTATTTCAAAATATTAACTAATATTTGAACCAATAAATAGGAGTATGCTAATATTGGAGTATGATTTTTCAATTTCATCAGGCTCATCTCAGCCCTACCTGCAAGCAGCAAGGAGAGCTCCCCATACTACTGGATTCGGATTCAAAGGCATGCACTTTATAACCTTAAGAGCTTCAGTCAACTGCCCAGCCCGTCCGAGAAGATCAACCAAGCAGCCATAGTGTGTGATATTAGGCTCAATTCCAAACAGTGATTTCATTTTGTTGAAGAAATTCCTTCCTTCCTCCACCATACCGGTATGAGCGCAAGCGGAAAGGACGCCGACAAAGGTGACATCATCAGGTTTTTCTGATGATTTCAGCATTTGGGAGAAGATGTCTAGAGCTTCTAGTCCATGTCCGTTGACAGCAAGGCCAACAATCATGGCCGTCCAAGTGAACTTGTCCCTTCTGGACAAACGATTAAACATATCAACTCCCTTTTCCACGTCACCACATTTGAAATACATGTCTATCAAAGCGTTGCCAATATGAAGATCAAATTTTATCGTGTTCTTGTCGAGGTGGTTCCTCACCCATTCTCCAAGCTCAAGTGCCCCGACATGGGAGCATGCAGTGATAACGCTAACCATGGTGAACTCATCCGGTTTCAAATTTTCTGCTTGCATTCCACGTAAGAGGATCAAAACATCCTTAAACCGGTTTTCTTTGATATAGCCGTCAATCATTGCTGTCCATGAAACAGAGTCCCTCTCTGGCATCTTGTCAAAATACATTCTTGCTAAATCCATATCTCCAGAACTGATGAAACCTGTGACGATTGTGGTCCATGATATAACATCTCTTTGCTTCATTGTGAGAAATATCTTGATAGCAGAATCTATCTCTCCACAACATGCATACATATTCATCAAAGCATTATCAAGGATTAAATTAGATCCAACCTTAAGGTCTTTTACATACTGGTGTACACGTTTTCCAGAGTCTAAATCGTTCAGCTCGGAAAAAGTAGATAGTGCTGAAACCAAAGTAACTGCAGTGGGCATTATTCCTTTCTCATCCATTTCATAAAAGAGTCTCCTTGATTCCTGAAACATTTTGTATTTATTGAGCCCAGAGATCATGACATTCCAAATCATCACATTGGTGTTAGCACCCTGATCAAATAAGCTGCGAGCCATATGAACATTCCCCCACATGAAATAAATATGTATCAAAGAATGATTAACAAATTCATTGGAGTTGAACCCAAATTTACACACGTGAGAATGCAATCCTTTCCCCAACGTCATTGGAATTTTACGTGTAAACCCCTTAAGCAAGAAGGGGTACGTGTAGTCATCCGGTTTCACATTGTTCCTCAACATCTCCAAATACAAAGCAACCGCGTTTCTAGGACTCCCTGCTTCTGAAAAACTCTTGATCATCGTATTCCAAACAGCTACGTTTGGTTCAGGAATTTTTTCAAACAAGTAAGAGGCATGCTTCATGGATCCACTGCAATCACTGATGCAGCGAAAATGTAAGATCCTGGAACAGACTAAGGAGTTACTGCCTTACTGCAAAGGTACTCATGGAGAAGTGCGGTAAATTGTTGGATGGTCGATGAATTTGCAACTGTGAAAGAGAGAATGGGAAGCTCAGCTAGTTCAGGTACACATGAGAAATGAAGCTGGTGGTGGAATGAGAAGAATGTAGAGAAGCAGTCACTCTATCAGTCTATCTCTTTCAAACAGACACACACAAAGAGAATTTGGAGACTTGCATGTGTATAAAAAACTACTACTACGTAGTACTCCCTCTGTCCCTGAAAGAAGTTCCATTTTACTATTCACTGGTCAACTTAAATCACTCTTAATCTCTTACTTTTTATATCAAAATTTTATAAAAGTTGAATTATTTTTTGCAGGCTTTGTAGCGGGTTTAATGTAGTTTCTGAATATGTAAATTTTATTTACTAAAAATAATCCGAGTTTTCACAGGGATCATTTAACTTTATCGTCGGTCAACCTCGTAATCCGCAAATGGAACAACAATAAGGGACGGAGGGAGTAGCTATTATTCTTTTGTCAATAATCTTCTTTTTTGCTACTAGTATAACAACTTTTTTTATTAAATAACTTATTGTTATGAGGGTATTCAAGAGGTTCTATCGGCTAGGACGCTGCGTTAGCTTGATGAAGTACCTGTGAGGGTTGGCCCCAATAGAATTAGGATTTAAGAATTGTATCCTATACTTTGTTTTCAAGTACTTTATGAACTGATTTCTATTTGTGCAATTATATTAAGAGGAATTCTTTGGATGAGGGCTGGTAGTATAGTATCTATGTGAAGAATGGATTGAATCCATTTTTAGAAGAAATATTCTAAGACATAAAATAAGATGCAAGAGTCAAAAAAGTGGTAAAATTCGAAGGGACCAAACATATCCAATATTGGTTTCTATTTATAGAGGAAAAATCGATTTTTTGTTATAACTTTTTAATAATAAATTAAATTTATTACCTAACAAATTAAAAAAAAAAAAGTATTTGGGGGTAGTTGGTGACTACAAAAATGGAGGACACCTTCCCTAACTTTGGCTGACAGTGTTGTTTCAAAGACAATGTTGCATTCATTGAATGACTAGATTAAAAAATTGAGAGATCCCATTTTCAATCCACCAAATTAATTGGTCACTTTGTGATCTTCCATAATGGGGGTCAACTCCCATCACTTTTTTATTATTATCTAACTTGACCTTCCATAGTGGATGACCTTACTCACTCGGTCGGTCGGTTTATGATCGATGTATAATATCTAAAACCATCGACCGAACCGTTTGAACATATGTCAATTCCGTTCACTGACCGTCTTTGTTGGTTTTTATTTTGGTCAAATTTACTTGATTTTATCTATTCGATTTCAGTCGGTTTCGATTTTTCGCCTTTTTTGTTCACCCCTATAAGGATTTAATCACAAACTTCTCAATTTGAGAATTTGAGATTAGATAATTGTTTCTCCCAATTTCTCCTAAACATAGCGAGGAAAGGTGTTGGTTGGCCTTTAAAAAATGCTAGAAGACACATCACAATATTTTAGGCTTTTGTTGGATGTTTTAGGTACTTAGTGTATTTAGCGAGTGATTAGTAGATAATGACGACAAAAGCAAGCACAAGAAGGAGAAATGTAAAGTACATCAAGTTCTATTAAATGGACTTATAACAATTACAACACACACTTACCGAGCCCAAGCCTCAATCCTTTTATTATAAACTGAACTTACCGGTGGGCGTAACTCAACTAGTAGATAGGGGGTGCCACAAGGGGTAAGTCTCGGGTTCGAATCCCGGCAACTGCGATGAGAGGTTATTATGCTAAAAATGCATAGGGCCTCTGCAAGTACCAGAGCCAGAGCCCCACTCTCTATCTGCCAACATGTGATTAAAGTTCAATTTACATCCTCCCATCTAACTGTCCGGTCGGTGTTGGGGGGCCCTCAGGGATGGGGTGTCATCTTTTTTTTTAATTATAAACTGAGAGTTTACAAAGAAAGTAGAGAGAGAAACTACACTATTGAATGCAAATTTGTCAACTCTTTACAATGAAATAATGTGGATATTTATACTATGGGGTGGTAGGTGAAGGGGGCAATGTGGAGAGCCCCAGATGGATAACTCATTTCTGGTGCATTAAATGCGCATTCCTGTCAATTCCTTGGTGAAGAAACTCGGCGGGAAGCAGGAAAGCTCCAATTGTCATAATCCATCCCGCTCAATTCGTCCTGGGCGGGTTGTGCCAAGTGAGCTGGATGCCCTGGACCGAGATCAGCCATATATGAAGAATTAGAGAATACGAATCTGTAATCCAAACGATCTGTCCCACAGGTGTGGCCCGGCGATACCATCTCATTCGGTATGAGCTAACAGCTATCCCACCATTTCCGAAAATCTGAGGTTACGGTTACGACTGGCGGTTCACTTCCTGATATTCTCGTCATGATTACCCAACTCTTTGTCTCCGCGTAACATGTTTCCTAGGAGATGCTACTTGCCACGTACGTTTCACTTAGCGGTTGGGTGTTCTGTCAGTGATTCTCCTTATAAATACCCCCTCTAGCCTAAGGCTTAGGGTTTATGAACATTCACTCTTTCTATACTTTCTAGACCTTCACTCTTGCCTCCTTTCTATGTCGGAATCATCTCACCGGTCAGTCCGTTTGATTACTTCCATAATTTTCCAGGTATTCCCTTGGAATATTCGGTGCCACCCTCTCTTTTTTCTTTTGCTTCGATTCCCACGTCTGCTCAATCTTCATCCAATCTGGGAGATCTTCAAATGTCTGGGGGCTCGGGAATATAATGTTATAACAACAAGTTAACCAGGAGGTGTAGGGTGACATTGTTGACATTGCCCACCAAAGTACCGCCATTGGGACACTCTGGTAGCGACAATGATTCTAGTGTCAAGACCACATTTGGAGATGACAAGACGGTCTTCAAAGTCGGCGTCCCCGATGACCTTCCCTGCGAAGAACTTTCGATCGTGAGCATACGACAATGGAGGCAACACCGGTCCCATCACTGCCTGATTCAACTTTCCGCTCTTCTACCACCGCCATTTTATATAGCACCCGGGGGATTGCTCATCCCATGCGGCATCAGGCAAATATGGTTGTAGTTCACTTTGATTTGGTGGGCGCCGAACTGCCACCCGTTCTATGTCTAGATTTTCAACCGTTATGAGGAAGTATCGACGCAATTCATGCCAAACTCATACAGGAGCGCTGCTGGAGGGTTTCGTGATACGCAAAAAGGAGGATGGGGTTGATCCGAGCCTGATTTTATTCCACTATTTCTTCAATATCTCCCCCAGCACATAGACGAGTACCTGGCGATTAGTAGCCGACCAACGCGGAAGCTATTTAACAAGAACAAGACTTTCATGCATAAAGGGATGGAAAGATCGGTTCCACCTCGTTGGGATTCTAGAAGGTCAGATCTCGGGTGTACCACATTGTGGAATACGTCACTGCCAAACATATTGCGAACTCCGAGATGAGTGTCGCCCGTACACCTAGGCTGCTTGTAGAAATTCAACTACCAAGGCTCGTGCGGTACTATCATCTGTATTCACACAATTCGCCACGGATATTGGTAGATCCCAGAAGCTATCAAACAAACTTAAAACAATAATTTCAGAATTAACTCTCATATTCCCTCTCAAAGTAATAATCTCACCAAAGAAAGGTATAGAAGGCAAGAGAATCTCTGGAAATTGGAAATAATATTCATTCATATCTCCTTTGGTTACAACATGGATGCATATATATATACATATATATATATATATAATAACGACACTATTTAACTGATCCCTACAATATTGGCCACTAACCCACTACTGCCCATAACAACACTACTTAATTGGCCACTAACCCACTATTGCCCATGACTCACTACTTAACCAACTACCTAATAATAATAATAATAATAATAATAATAATAATAATAATAATAATAATAACAACAACAACAACAACAACAACAACAACAACAACAACAACAACAACAACAACAACTAAATAGACTCAAGAAGTTGTATCATTATTGCCTCCTCGGAAAAACGACTTGTCCTCAAGGCGAAATTCTGGAAATTGTGCAGCTATGAGGTCATATTCTTCCCAGCTAGCTTCCTCATTAGGTTTGTCCTTCCACTTAATTAAAATCACCAACGAGTGAGTTGTCCATCGATGAGATAGGACCAATTCGGGCTCCAGGAGCAATTCAAAGTCTGAAAGTCATTTCAAAGGTTTAAGGAATCCTCCATGACCGCCTGAAGTTGTGTCGGGTGCTCTGATTTTGTTGAGGGCCCGATAGTCCACACACATGGAAGTGGTCTCTGAAGGGAGGCAAAGCTACTGGTTATGCAAATTCCCTTTAACTTATATTTCTTCTCGTTCACCCAAAAAATGAGGAACGTAACATCTCATTCCAATTAGATTGGATGGTATTGAGTGATGCAAGCCATTTAATTCCCAGTACCATATCAGATTCCACAAGGGGAAATGGATAAAAATCTTGGATGATGGTCAAACCTGGAAGTTGTACTGAAATCTCGTTACACACACTGTTGCAACACACAACATGACCGTCTCCAACCTGAATCCCAATTGTTTGAGTAGAGGAGGTTGCCAAGTCAAGTTCCCTTACCAGTGAATCTAATATGAAATTGTGACTTGAGCCACTATCCACTAACAACAATACTTCTTTGTTAGCCAGTAAGCCACACAATTTCATTGTTGTTGCTGGTTGGTTTGCCCAGGATGGCTTCAAAAGAAATCTCGACATCTACAGTTGGTTCCTGTTTTGTGTCTTCGGTAATTCCAAAGAGCTTGACATTGAATTCACGTCTTCTACAACTTCCAACAGCAAGAACGTAGTATAACAGCGGTGGCCTGGTCGGAATGGGTCCCCGCATCGGAAACACAACCCTTTGTCGCGGCGTTGTTGTTTTGTCGCATCCCATGAACGAGAGGGAGAAGGGAGCGACAAGGCTGCTTTGGAGGGTGCTGAATAAGACGCTGTGCTGGAATTTCCTGGTAATGGCTCCAGGTCACGTGCACATGTAGCGCTAATGGAAGTAAGGCTGGAAACAGGCGTATTCTGAGAGGAATACGCATTGGGCCCGATTCCCTTCGCTTGGACCAATTTATTCTCAAACTCCAGGGCTGAACTGACAGCTCTATACACGGTCCTGGGCTTGTGTATCCTCACCTCTGATCGGATATCTTCTCGGAGCCGATTTAAGAAAATCCCTAGGAGGCAATGCTCTGTCCAGTTGGTGACACATGCTACTGTTTTATTGTTGATATTGGATTTTGCACCCGTTTTTAGAAATCTTTGTTTTTACAAAATTAACAATTCGGTATGAAAAGAAAAAAAATGCACATCCAATAACAATTATGTTGGCCTTCAACATATTCCTGATCGAAACACATTTTTATCTTATCATAAGGGGTTGTGGTGCAAAAACAAAGATTTTTAAAAAACGGAATGCAAAGTCCAATTTCGATAACAAAATGATGCAAACTCAAATTACCCCATAAATAAATTATTAGCTATTGGAGTTATTTTTTCTTATTAAAAAAAATATTATATGTAATTAAAATCCAAATCCAGTCCAACAACTTTCTTGGACGGGTGCTCATCCCTACCCAAAACCTACGTTACAAGAACAAGACAGGACCGACCGGTTCGACACAAAAATCGGCGAACAGGATCTGATTCCGGTCCGGTATGATGCAAACCCGCTAATATACCGATAATTAACCGGGCCCAGAAACTGGAGGGACCAAACCCGGCAAAATCATTCAACCCAGCGCTAGAACATAAAAATGTGAACAGAGGGAGTCGTTCCCTAGTCCTCCGCAAGAGATGGAGGCCGCCAGCCCATTGTACTACAACAAGTCAACAAGTTATTGGTATGATATGTACTAGCCCATTGTACTACAACAAGTCAACAAGTTATTGGTATGATATGTGCTTTAGGTGTACTAATATTGTATCCAAGTATAATTTGACTTAAAAAATTGATATACTAAAATTTATTCTCTATTTTCAAATATATTTTAAAAATTATTTAAAATTTGTATACTCCGT